TTGCGGAGTCAAGACATGAATGATTCAGATCAACGGAGAGAAAGAATCACAGAGAGATAGGACTTTGAATATGATTAGAATAAAGTAAGACGCCAAGATCCCAAACTAATAATGGGAGAGAGACAATGAGAGTTATTTAGGCAGAACAGCAAAAACACAAACAAAAGAGGCGATATTCCAACAATGACTACTCTCCATGAGGATGCCTGTCTGCCATCGACCCAGATAACACAGCAGGCTGTGTATCCTGAGATTCAGGGCAAAAGGTAAACAGCAAATCAAAACTATCTAATTCAGTTTGAGCGTGAAGGGAAAGAGAAAATTGATGTATTGTCCATCCCTACGGAGCGTGTGAAAACTGGCATCTTTTATTCAGGCTCCTATGAGTCACTCCTTCGTAGTGGACTCCTGTCCCCACATCACCAGAACGCTGAGCCACTGAAGTGTGTGTGTGTGTGTGTGTGTGTGTGTGTGTGTGTGTGTGTGTGTGTGTCAGCTCAGATTTTGGGTAGAGGGGACAGGAATTTGACTCCGATTCTTGGCGTATTTCTAAAGTCTAAAGCAGAGGATCCTGTGAGGCTATTTGCAATAGATTGACACTTAACTGGAATTTAAATGTTGCGCTTTAAGTTGCAAAATGATTTCCGGAATACAAAGCTTACAGAGAAGTAACAGCCCGGCAAGTGGATTTTGGAAAGAATCACCTGAAACCTCATAGGAAAGCTTCCGGGTGCCCGCTGGAAAAGATTTTTTTGGAAATATTATCCTGGAGGAAATTACAGCTCTGAACAATTTGTTTTATTCAGAATGCAAAGCTCTCTCATCCATTTCTTCTGGTTATCCTCCTGGTGGGGCAACAGCCATGCTGTGAATATAGAAACAAGGCGGCACTAGAGGGAGGGAGAAGGGATCTGGGTCAGAGACATAAATGCCATCTGCATCTGGACTGAATGGCAGCGTATAAGGACACCGTCATAGACATTGTGTGTGTGCGTGTGTGTGTGTGTGTGGGGATGAGAGAGCGAGAGAGAGCGAAGGAGTGCTTGCAGTGCATCAGGAAAATGTATTTATAAGTACAATAGCAATCCTGAGGCTGGCCGGGAGGGTTAAGGACAGATATGGTCACCTTAATACAGACATTCAGGCCATTCATTCTGGATGATGAGTGACTGGAGGGGATCAAATTTTCCAACAGGAGCCAAGCACTGGTGGAGTTTCTCGAAACAAAGTGATGACTGCGGAGAAAATCAGAGAAGCTGCACTGTGGACGTCAGCACTGTTACAGCTCAGGTACCGACGTGTCCGAAAGAAGCACACCGGAATTTAACAAATCAGTCTTTCAATCCCCTCCTTAAAGCGCTCTCTCTCTCTCTCTCTCTCTCTCTCACACACACACACACACACACACACACACACACACACACACGCACACACACACACAGTCAGAGAAAAAAACACAACCACAGTCAAAGTGAGGGCTGCCCAAAACCACCGGTAACCCAAACAAAGTCCAAGGTCAGCAGAGTGGGCTCACTGAGGGACACGTGGGACGAAGTTACGCGAGTGAGTTCCAACTCCTACAATACACTCCAAACATCTTGTTGATTCAATTATCAAACCTTATCAAATCTAAATCAAATTCTAAATCAGTTCATCCTTGAGTCCAAGTGGACGGTTGTGCCAAATTTGAAAAAAATAAATAAATACCCTCCAGGCGCACAAGAGATATCACGATCAAGAACGGGACGGACAACACGAGAACACGGCGCCTCCGGCCACGGCCTTTCGCAGAGGCAAAATAAAAACAGCATCTGACCCACATTCCTAAATACCGGTAAGATATGCAAGTCATATCTGGCAGCGCAGTCATTAACTGTGGCGACTGGGTTTTCCAGATGAATAGAGCGCAAATCTATCCACTCAGCAGGAATAATGCAGTGTGTGGAAGTTATACGGAGGAATGTTCATTGGACGCACTGTGTTTGCCGATGAAAACTCTCGGTCGGCTTAAACACCCAGATTTTTTAGGAAGTGATGTGAATGAGCGTCTCTGCCGATTAAAAAGAAGATTAATCAGAGACGAAGCAGAGAATGTCTCATGAGATGACTGAAAATGACGACAAACAAATTGATATTCTGAAGAAATGATGAAAAAGTGTGGAGGAGTTTTGCTAAACGCAGATCAAATGCAGAAACAGAACTAAATCCATTTCATACAAGTCTTATACCAGATATATCGTCAAATATGTAGCCTTGGGTTTGTTGTCAGCTTTGGCTCTGGCGTCATATTTGCTGTGGAGGTTTCAATAACTACGCTAGACTTGGACATTTTATGAAATACTTCAGAGTGATTTAAAATAAAAAAAATGTGAAATGTAACATCCTCCTCCTCCTCCCTGCCGACCTCCTGTCTAGACCCTCATGGCCGAGGTCCTAGTTCTGTCCTTCCCATTATTCCCCCGGTGGCATATATATATATATATATATATATTTGTGTGTTGGTGTGTGTGTGTGTGTGTGTGTGTGTGTGCATGAGTGGGTGTCATTACTCCTGCCCCCTCTTGATGGTTTTGGGTTAAACAATGTTATTATTAAAGCCTTTCCAGAGTAGCTTCCTGCATCCCTCCAGTGACACCCTTGCCAACTATAAATCAACTGCCTGAGCCCTGTAAATCACATACAGCGTGTGTGTGTGTGTGTGTGTGTGTGCGCGTGCATGCGTATGCGCACGTGTGCGCGTGTGTGTGTGTGTCTGGCCACTGCAGCTGTGCACTCACATGCACATGAAGATGACATTGCAGCTGTGAGTGTGTCACGGCAGAGACAAGCACATATTACTTTATCAAGATCCTTTCAAGCAGCACAGAGGACACAAATGGTAAATGTTGAATAAAAGCATATGCTGTGAATATGATTTAAGGGGAAATGAATGACAAGTCTGTATGTTTTCATGAGCGGAGACCGTCGTGGTTTATTCGCTCCGATAGCACGGCAATGTTTGACTTTTGTGAGGCTTACGCTGGAGAAATCGCACTAAAACATCTTCTGTTGGTGGTAAATTGAATTCTTAATACGGAAAACAACCCTGTTAGACCTCCGATGATCATTTTATGTCTGAACGGAGACACAGAGACAATTTCATCTCTCAAAACCAGATGAATAATGCTCTCTGAAACACTCGGCTCCTGTGTAGCAGTGATGGCTCATTCTGGGATTGTTTGTGATTGTGTTAACACCCCCTGCTGGGCTGAAGACATCACTGCCGCACACGGAGAGGAGCAAGCTCACCACCAGCGACCAACGTCCCACATCCAATCCCGCTTCCAGCCAGGCGACGACGCACCCAAGTTAATGAAACACTACAATCAGGCCGACACCTTCCTCCAGAACTTTTATCACTCCTTCAAAAAGAGACACACACAAATACAGACAAGGGAGAAAACAAACCCAAAGAATAAAATACTGAACCCTATTGTACTGTGTGTACTTCTGTGTCTTTGTGCACGCACACACCGAAGAGAGAGAGAGTCTAGACAGCTGCATCCCCACCAGGTCTCTCACCGCTAAGGAGAGTGAGACGTATATATTGTGCAGCTGCCGAAGACACTGTCGACCCACAAAAGAGCTATTGTGCGCCCACAGCAAAACAATACAGCTTAGCTGAGCTATGAGGGGGAAAGAAAAGAAAAAAACAACCATTGGGATCAATAGAGAATTGCAATTAGCCCACATTGGCAGGAGCAGTGCCAGATTAGACACAGGATGTCGATTCCATTTCCTGCACTATCGAAGCCCTCGAAACTTGGTCGGCTCGCTGTGTAATTGGAGCAACACACATACAAGCTGGGTAGGACGTAGTGTGAAGGTGACATATGATGAAGATAGTGATAATAATAATTTGAATATTGAAGAGGTTGTGCAATAACAATAAATACATTCTAGCATTTAACTAACAAGCATTTGGAGGAGCGGAACAAAAAAGCCTGTATCGTAGCCACGTACACTTCTGCTTAAAAATATGTGAAGACATGTTCGTCTGAAGCAACATGGCATGACAACAGCAGACCGACGCACTGACTTCACAGCACAGAGTCCGCTCCAGATCGTTTCTGTAATTCACACAGCAGTAGTTCACAATATTCAATGTCCATCAACCCTCCAGATGCATAAATACTACGATTGTAAAACGACCCGGCATTGAAAGAAAACACACCGCCACACATATTCCCCTGCACCGGCCTCGACACAGAGAGGGAGCTCTTCTCACTGGCTTCAGCCGATGGAAGCTCTTACCTTTGCGTATGCCCTGGCCTTGCAGTACATCCCTTGAAATCAGCACAGAGTAGAAGCTTTGTGAGAAGCCAGGTCGGCAGGGACCTCTGGAAGCATGCTCGCCATTATTCCTCTGGAAGAGAAGAGAAATACAAAGCAAGACATCGATAAACATGGATTCCATTGATTACTTGCTTCTCTTTTGCCCTGAGCCTGGGAGAAAAAGCAGCATATTGCACCGCGGTTAGCAGAAATATATTCAACAAGTTCATCGACTGCATGCTCCTGGGTAGGCACATAGCTGATTAAATACCCACACTCTTATAATGTCTGATAACAAAAAAAATGCTCTGTTAAACTCGCTCCATAAAAGAAAGCAGCCCGTGATGACATTCTTTAAATATTGTACTCTGGGTTAAGTGAGACATATAACAGCACTGCAGGTGTGTGTGTGTGCGTGTGTGTGGGGCGTGTGTGTTTGAACTGGCCTGCAGAAAACTTCGCACCCAACATTTAGCGCTCACTGCTGGTGAAATTGAACGATCTGACCAGCTACAGAAGTGGATGTGCGTGCGCACCAAAAAACAACACGCGCACACACACACACACACACACACACAGGTGGATGCCAGGGCTGGAGTTCCGAATGCAGAGGCGGCATAACGCACTCGTCCCTCTCTCCTCTTCGGAGAGGAATAACGGAGGAGTCAAATATCATTTGTGTAGTTCTCCTAAATTTGCATGACATAAAAAAAATATATTAATGGCTTTGGTCAGGAAAGAGGCACAGAGACAGATTAAGCAGGGTTCCTCAGTGCGCCGTTAGGAGGACCGTTAGTCCACCGGCACCGATGAAACGACGAGCAGAGGTTTGAAAAGCACCTCACAACTTTAAAGGTTAACTTATTGTAGACATATGCGTTTTTTGGGGGGGGGGGTCAAAGAGGCTCAACGGAGGGAGCTTCTGAAAAAAAATAAGCGATATGACTAAATGTGTTTGATAAAGAATAAAAAGGTTTCATCTGGGGTGATTGGATTGCGCTGTAATAAGAATGTAGCGTAGGAGCCCGGTGATGAATCCCGCAGCGGTCCGGAGGAAATCTGACGAGGATCAGAGCGGACAGCCTCCTGGATCTTAACACTGACTTTATTTTATTTTTTTCCCTTTATGAAAACATTAAAATTCATTAGCGAACCAATTAGCGCACTTGTAGTGAAACACGGAGCAGCACTGCGCCGCTGCGGCACCGACACACCGGACCGACGCTGGACTCCATCCGACTACCGTTACATGACTTTTACTCCAGCTCATGCGCTACTGCTTTGAAGAACCCCGCACCAATTGAGACGCTGCGTCTCTCACAACTTACAGAAGCAGCTGTTGTAAAAAATAATAATAATAAAAGAAATCTTACCGGGAATGAGTCCAGAAGAAGGGCTGCTGTCAGGACCAGAGCGAAGTCGGTTCTCATCGTGGCGAGCGAGCGAGCCAGTACTGCCTGGACGAGGCACCAGAAAGAAAGGGTAGATGCGTAATGATTCTCCGGTAATTGCACGAGTTAATTCCCGTCCTCGTTTGCTCGGGACTTGCTCGTTACGTCCCTCTCGTGCGCTCCGCGAGTGTGCTGCTGCAGCTCTGCCCCGAGTTCTCCCCTCCCCGGCTCTCTCATCTGCAGGTAAGCGCTCCGCTCGGCACCGAGGCGCAGCAGCCAGCGTCACTCTCCAACCCCTCCTCTAACCCGGTGCAGGAAAACTCCACACACACATGCGCGCGCGCGCGCACTTAAAGCAACACTCGTTGGGAGCTTTTGGATCAAACGAGCACGCAGCCTGACGTCTTTCCGAGGTCCCCCGGTATATATATATATATATATATATATATATATATATATATATATATATAATCCCTCTCCCCGTGGCGACCTAAACGGTTTTATGGCTGCGAATGAAAGGACCTTTTAAACCACGAGTCGAGTCTCTATATGCCCGTGTGTGTGTGTGCGCGTGTGTGTATGGCAAAGTCATTAACCATTAGCAGTGAAAGTTCCTACGCCGCTTCGCGGGCATGTAGCTCACATCTGATTTGTAGGTTATTGCATTTTGACAGTTAACCCATCAGGCAGATGTGCGCAGCGTTCAAACACCTTAATAGGCTCGTCTGCTTTCCATTATTCTCATATAAGAATCCTTAAAGGTTCAATTTGGACACATTTAGCAGACAGGCAGAGTACCTGCACATGTCATGTCTGCAGTAGGTGTACCACGTGACCTGCAGGTGAAGGGGAGGGGCTGCGGTCGAATAGTCCTTTTTGCTTAGGAAGGTTCCTAACTGAGTGAAATGACCCGGAAGTATCTAAGTGTCCGCCATGAAAAGAGCTGTTCGAATTCTCTTAAAAAAGTAAGCAAAGGAGCTTCAATGCTTCCTTTGTTGGCTCCACTAGCATAGGAAACACTGGACCTTCCTGTACGAAAGGAAAGTAGATAATTCCGCCCCACAATTCCTTGCGGCGGCAACATTTAAAGTGACGCACCATTCGGCCGTCCATGGAAACAAAACAATACCCTTATCTCACACAGGTTTAACAATTATACTCATAGGCCCAATCCCAATGTCCCCCCTTACGGACTCACGGACTTTGAGGCGCGCTCCAGTGAAGTCCCTGAGGGTTTAGGGCTGTCCCACTGTCAAATCATCGAGTGTTTGAGGCTCTCTGGCAGACATTTTGAGCCCTTTATGAACCCTTTCCGTAAGTCAGCATGGTATGCTGACTTAGCCTATGGGAATTACCCACAAATCATTGCAATGTGACGTTAAACACGGGGTAACCAGTGGACGCATGGAGACGTAAAAAACAAGGTAAAAAAAGAGGACGGCTCATGTGTGTTCAGCCTGTTTCAATTTACACAGAAACATTAATGGTTAAAGATGGAACAAAAAATAAACTTGAAATCAGAGAATATTTATTCATCAAATATTAGATTTTGTCATTGAAGCTGTTTTGACAAAAACGCGTAAATAGATTATATGAAATTACCTCACCTTGTGAGGAAAGAGCCTGGAAGACTTTCAAATCAGGGAGTACAAAGTATAAAATAAATACCCACAATTGTACATCATATTTTTTTGTCGTTTTCATGGTAACGTGATATGTTGCAGCAAAGTGCTGTCACATTCCTATTTTCACCATTTCAAGCCCTCACAGTCTCTCACACTCAACCACTTACCAGGTGACGTCAGTAAGTCCATGAGGGTTCAGGGTTTGAGGGTTTAGGGGGGATATTGGGATTGGGCCATGCAGTCATAAAGCAATGGGATTCATGTTGATGAATATGAACAGACAGTGACAACCCTTACGTTTCATTTCATATGTAAATATTTACTTCGAACATGTAACAAATAAGTTAAAAAAATTATGTATATGAAATAAAATGAACAGCAAATATAGCAAACTGTCTATGAACATATTGTCAATAACAAGAAGCATCAGTAAAATAACAAAACAAGCTACACCTATGGTAGATTATTAAGCAAAATATAACCGAACCGTTGAATCTACATCATTACATAAAGGAAATATTGATATTTTACAATTTCAGGGTGAATTGTCAGTTTCTACTGAAGCGGTGTTGATTGTTAAGTGTGACAGCAGCAGGAAGGAAGGAGCTCCGGTTTCTCTCCATCACACCACGAGTGAAACAGCCTCTCACAGAAGAAGCTGTTTATATCGCCTGCATGGTATGCTAATACAGAAGTCATGGTGTCATGTTTTAATTGCGCTTTTTGTAGTCCTTCTTCGTTGTAGTTTGGCCATGGCAGACCTACGACAGTGACATCCACCGTCGCATCATAATTACGTAGCTTTGGTGAAAGTGGGGCCAGATTCTCTAAACATCACGGTTGTCTTTTCCTAACTCCTCATCAATTATGCTTCACATCTGTCCTTGACCCCATGACGTTTTCCATAGAGGTCAAGGAAATGTGGTTAGTGTTAGATGTTATTCTTGGACTTTTCGACCGCAGCCCTGCTATAATCCCCACCCCTCCCCTGTGCTCCATCTTGATCACCGCGAGACCACTTACTTACTACTACTACAACAACAAAAGCATTTCATCACATTGATGGGTTCTTAAGCTTGTCCCTGTATGATAATGCCATAAGTCTATCGAGTACCCACCAACATATTTAACATCTGTTGTCTGAGAGAGACAAAAACATCACAAGATGTATGAATAGCATTTTGTGATGTCATTGTAGCATCACCAGCCATGCTTTTTTTGTTTATTCCGACATTTCTTGTGCATTACTCTGAATGATGATTTGTGATATGTAGCAATGGATGCACTTTGTAATTATTCGTTTTCTGTGATAAATATTCTGACTTGAAGACTGCAGTACAGCAACTCCCACAGTTTACCACACTAAATTAAACTAGGATTTGTTTTTACAAAAGCGGTGTGGGTGTGTGCCTTTGTGTGTGTGAAATTGGATTGGATATGGACCCTCGGTCTGCTTTGGTTTGGAGCTTTTTGTATCTTTTAATAGGCCTTGTGTGTGGTATTTGATCCCTCCGTTTATCAACCAAGTCATGCTCAACAGCAGTTTTCCTTTTTGCTGAGACGTAGTTAATCGTGTTGGTATTTTGATTATGACACAGGCTTGCTACGCCGAACTCAACCCAATACTCAGCCTACCTTTTTTGCAACAAATCTAACACTGTGTCTGAGACTATGAAAGGCAAATTCATCAAAAGCCGGGTGGAACAAAGGTCAATTCAAAAGCTTTTCAGCGTGAATGCTTCCGTTTCCCAAAAATTGTCATCTGACTAAAAAAGGGTTGACCAGGCCGCGTTTGAGTATTATCTTGCATCGGTGTGCATGCAGTTCAAAACAACCTCTGACCACCAGCAGTTTGTGTGCCTGAACAGTGTCCCGCGGCCACATAAAATCTTTCCCTGAACAAACACAGCATAATATGGAGGTAGGCCCTTCTGTTAGACCTTTTTGAGCGACTAATGACCCTTATATTCTCCCGTCTCCGATTGTCTGACTGGTCTCTCTCTATATACTGTATATGCCTTGTGAACCAATGGGCTCTAATCCTATCAAAACGAGTATGACTCTGCATTAGTGGGCAGCTGCTCAGCCAATTTCCTCTGTGTAACATCCAGACATTTTACCACCTCTCTCATCCCAATCCCTCGGTCCCAAGGATGAGCTTCAACACTTCCATCCACTCCTTTTTTTATTGCTGATGGGCTCTGTGACATGGTTCGGATTTTTGTCCTGGTAAATGCTGAGATTGGCAGGTGTCTGTCTCAGTCTCTTTTGTGTGTGTGTGTGTGTGTGGGGCCCATAGCAGGATTCAATATGTGGTTGTCAGGGCAACACTATCACCCATCAGAACATTAGTACTGGGCAATTCTGAAAAATCCTAAATTATAATTTGATTTATTCAAATGACGCATTCCTCCAATGTGGAGCTACATGGCTCCACATATAAATACATGGCAGCTACAGTGTGGTTAGCTAAGGTTCAGCAACTAAAACTACGTTTCTGGTAATGGTAAATAAACCATGGTTAATGTCGGGATGAGGTACGGTTAAGAACAGGTTAAAGGAATGTGGGCATGCATCTTTAGGTGGAGGGATATTCGCACTGAGCTGAGACATGAGCAACCGCAACCATTCAAGCTGTGTTGGCACAGTGGGAATGGTTTACACAGGAGAGCAGGTAAAAGGCATTGTTTACCTTGACGACGTGTTGGAGATGTGCCGATTCACACACCACAGTGCAGCCTGTCATTTGCATCTCCTCATCCAGCAGCTCACTGTGGCTGTTTCTGCTTCTACTTTCCTCCTGTGATATTTAGAACAAATCCAGTGAAACATCGTACAATATGCCGTTTCTTGTTGTTTAGACCGATGTGTATTGAGAAATAGCAATGCTTACTATGTTTTGCTTACAGACCGTATATAAGAAGTGGACGTAGTCTACATGACGTTGCCCATTGGTTTGTTGACTATGGTTTTTAAGCCTCGAATTCGGCACTTTGGAGTCGCCATCTTGGTTTTTGGCTGACGGCATCTTGTTTTTTTGGGACCAGATGTGACACGAGAGGGTGGAGCTAAGTGCAACCGAATTCTGAATAAGACATTTTTAGGCGACCAAAAAGGTTTCAGTTAACTTTCATGAACTCAAAACACACTCTGAAAGGGTTAAAGTTGGAAGACAAAAACACTGACAACTCCCAGAGCGGACATCTCCATGGTAGCAGCATGTCAATCACAAGGTAGCCCCGCCCTAAAGCATACCCAGCTTTATGGTCTATTTCACTCTCAATGGGACCATTATTTACGAATTGAACATCATGCTGTTTTGAAGAAGACTTGGAACTAGCGTTTGAGACCATAAACTAACGTTTACAATGTTTACTGGGGTAATAAATTAAGTGAGAAGTCGGGTAATTTTCTCATAGACTTCTACTACAATCACAGGTATTGTTGCAACCAGATGAGTCGCCCCCTGCTGGCTATTAGAAAGGACACAAGTTTAAGGCACTTCCGCATTGGCTTTATTTTTCAGAACCGAGGTTACCATCCGGTTCTGCTCACTCTGTGACAAACACTTTGCATTTCCTACAGCTGCTTGACAATAAAAGCCCCATGCTGGTTCGTAGGTGTAGAGCAGCAACGACAGAAACTGTTTGCATTTGCGGTTTGCATT